TGTTTAAGATGTATGATGATCCGGAATCGCCAAACGAGGCGAGTTTGTTAAAGATATAGGTCGAACCGGAATCTCTAAATGAGGGGGCGTGTCAATAGCTTTATATGCAAGAGGACCCTTCAAGGTGTTATCCCCTGATCGCTTGATGCCAAGCAGGACACTGAAAATCGGAATTCCCCAGATGCCAAGTGGAAGTTTCACAAAAGGGAATTCCTCACTAGCTTGCTGCAAAGAAAGACCGCGCAATCTGTAATTCCCCAAGCGCGTGCTGCAAAACAGAACCCTACAAAGTGTAATTCAGCACTAGCTTGAAGAGCCTGGAAATTGTATTTCCTCACGAGCTTGATGCAAAGCTAGACCCGCAAATCGGATTTCCCCGCTAGCTTGATGCGAAGCAGGGCCCTACAAGTGATAAGCCCCCCAACAGCTTCACGCAAAACAGAAACAACAACAAAAGGTAGCAAAAAACAGGATCGACAAAGAAATCCACCCGTTTCTAACCCGGTGTTTGTCCACAATTCAGCAATACAGTGGCCACGCACTTCACTTCTGGATCAGATAGTTCGAAGACATCGTGTTTAGCGGATGTGACTATCAGGTCATGCTCCAAGCAAAGGGCAAGCTTGTCGAGTGTGTTGAGTGCGAAGAGACTGCGCGACCCGAGAGAGGAGAGCATACACAATTTCGCACAGGATGAAGGCCTTCGCGCAGCTGAAGCGCGACATGGCGGCCAGAGGTTCTCGTCTTTTTTCTGGCTTTACCGCCTTGCCTCGGCAGCACCTCTATTGCCAGTCGCCTTATGGTGAGCAGCAGCGCGCTCGGCCCAGGTTGGTTTGCACTGAGCCCCTGGCCGGCTGCCTAATGCTGCGCGATTTGGCGGAGCAAAGTGGCCGAAGGCTGCTCGCCGCATTTGGGGTAGTCTAGGGTTGGGGATGAATCCAGGCCAGGGCAGTGGCCACGCAAAGCAATCCAGGCTGCCCTTGCTGGGCTATTTGGGCGTCGCTTTGCTCAACAGCTGCCCGCCGGATGACACCGACTTGTTCTGGGCTTCTTGGCGTGATATGTCCGTATTTCAATGCGGGTTCTTCGGGATGCAGGGTTGAGGTCAGCGTTTCCAAGTGGGAAAGCTTTATCAGAGCATATGATGAGAGGTCCGCGGCCTCACCAATTACCAAGACACAGCCACTTCAACGATAGGACCGGGTCTTTGCATTGTTGCACTATAAACTTCTTTTCCTGCAGCAATCCGGGCCCCAAGATATTGCCGTGGCAAGGATCATCTCTGACCGTGCTCTCTTTTTTGCCCTGCGGCCTGAAGCCCCGACCGTAAAGACTCAAGACCGTAAAGGCCTACCCCCAAACTTTGCGTTTGCAAGCCTGAGTATTGAGGATTCATTGATCCACGTCATGGACTCACCGGATCTGGCGGAGATTGTAGTCAACAACTTGACTCACGACATGACTTGGGGTTTCGGGCATTGGCCTTCAGGAGTTTCATAGCAGTAAGGCTCCTTCATGAGGAGCGCCAGGTGTCCAAGACGGGGCCAGCTCAAACCAGGGTCTCATGCTTCCGGACAGTCTCTAATTAGTTTTGTTGCATGGTTTGGAATCTCTGGGTCGTGAAATCCAGGCTTTCAGGTTCACCAACATAATTTGATTCAGTTGTTCGGCCGCCCTTCTGCGAGGCTGTGACCAGCTTAGCTTAAGGGGCAGGGTGCTGCATCAAAACAGGACCAAGCCACTTTGCCGATCCCAGGATTCTGTCTGAGCAGGTCTACTACCAGACTGGATACCGCAGCTGGCCCGCCAAATAGCGACAAGTACTGTCACCACGTTTTGCGGCCAAAGCGTGCCGATCGGCTTGGCTTCGGTTTGCATGGCATGATTTGACCGGAGTGATCGGATTCAGATGCACAGATCGTTCATCTGTACAGGAAGGTGGGTCCAGGGTTTGGCAGGATGCGAACAAAATTCTGCGAGGCGTACGATGTTGTAATTCATCGGACATGCGGCAATGACACATGGAGTCGGTCACACTCCTCGCAGGCATGCCCTACGTTCGGGCTCATGGCCTCTACACCGGCATGGCCTATGCTGCGAGCAAGCTGCAACATGTCCTGGTGTGGCGTGCGCCGCTGTTCAGCTACTTATCCAGACGTACACCAGTCCTCGCCCACAGAAGCAGCCTGGTAGCTGTCCTGTGAAACAAGAGTAGTTACATAACTCATAGAGATGCACGTGCACGTTGGCATCAGTGCACGCTCTCGCACAGCCAGAAAACCTATAGCAATCCCTTTGCTCCTGTTTGCTGTGGGATCCTTCGAGTACATCGCTGAATTACAGTGCTGGTACCAGTTGAAATGGCTGTCCTCAACGCATGCCAATTCTCAGATGGGGTATCGGGTATGCTTACATGGGGCGGGGCGGTGGACTCGGTGAGGTTGAGCCCTCGACAAACCCTGTGGAGTACATAGCTTGCGACTCGAAGCCCCCATGTTTTGTTGTAATTGTTGGAGCGCTACTTCCTTTGTTATTATGGGACTTCCAAACAGTGTTGAGCCACTCCTGACGGTCGTCTGTGCTGGAGGTTATGTCACCACAAGATGTGCTATCATGCATTTTACGGCCGCCAACCCTGGGCTCAACATCGAATTTCACTTCATGGAGGATGTGATCTGAGCATATGCCCTTTGTTTATTGATTTTGTTCTCTGCGGTTTCGTGGATGTTGCAGCGTGCATCCGGCAGACTGCGTTCAGTGATGCATCAGACGTTCTCTGCGCGAATCCAGGTGTCCTTCAACAGACACCCCCATGCTATGAAATTCTCGAAGTGCTCTTGGATTTGGGGGGCGTGCTTGGGGCATGCCTCAACCAGCCTCTCTGTGGGATGCCTTTCGAAAACTCACTTTCGATCCCCAAGCACTTGAAGATCAGAATCCGTGAGATTATCTGCAACGCCGATCTCAAAATTTACCAAAGAGGTAAGAAAATAGTCTAGGCGGCTCCCGCACCACTAAATCCTGTGCCACTTATCCCCCAAGCATCCGCCAGGAGGGTGAAAGCTTGCCGTACGCTGAAGTGGCCACTTTTAAGGCGTGATAGAGGGCGTGTTAGAGGGCTCGCATTCGGAGGGTTTGGAAATCTTAGCACGGATTCGGACTTAGGTTTGGTTCCTCGGTTGAGAGGAGCTGCGATATCTGGCAGTATTGTAGGAGAACAGAGACGTCCTCTACAGTGCTGAATGCCGGGAAGGCTGTTGCGCTGATCCCCTGGGATCATGCCCTCATGACGTTCTACGAGCTGTGTTTCGGTAGCACTGATCGCGACGACAGAAGCGTCTGCGAAGCTCCGAAGCTCGAGTCTTTAGACGCACCAGAGCCTCAGTTTGTTCCACCAAACGGACTTTTTCTGGTGGCGACTTTTCGCTCTCGAGCATCCTGGCACCGAGGAGAGGTATTCAGGCATTATGCCCGGAGGCTGGTTTATACATGTAGCCTTGGGGGCTTTCCTGACTGCATGAAGCAGTTGCCTGACGTTCAAACTAGAAGCTTTGGCTTTCTGAGCGGTGAAGGGAGAGACCCGGTCCCACAGTTGCCGTTTCCGCCGGCTTAGGTACAGCGCCAACATCCCACTGCTCATGCCCGGCACGGAATGGATGCACCTAGACATCGCATTTCAGACTTCATGTCGCAGCGTGACATGCAATGCTTCAAGAGAAGGTATCGCCTACTTTACCAGCGCGGCCAGCTCTCAGTGGGTGAGCGCCTTTACCAGGCCCAAAGGGGCTTTGTGAGGGGATCAATGTCCTAAGGCTTTGAAGATCCCCGCACCCAACTAATGTAAAACGCGGGGGGTGCTCTTTCGGGGGGTCTTTGAAATCCCCAGGGAATAATGTAAAACGGGGGGGGGTCGGATTGACAGCCATAAAAGTCCAAAGTCTGACCCTTGATCGCGCAGGTCTGACGAAAGCATGCCCTGCATGCAATATGCATGTCCGCATTGCAATTTAAATTTGCAGTCGAGGCAGCATGCGCGAGGCTGGGGCCCGTCAGTGCGGACAGTTAGCATGTGCAGCCAAGAAACACGGCTACAGTGTTACACTGTGAAGCAGTCCGCATTGCAGGGGACGGAGGCATAGATAATGCATAGTGACCCCCCCTCCGTTTTACATTGCGCCCTCCCCCGAATATGAGATCGGATCCTGGTAGTATAGCTTACGAATGTTGAAAACAGGTACTAGTACAGGAAGACAGGTGATTTCCGAGGAATACGTGACCGTGGCATCAATGTATGTCGCAACCCCCCGTCGTTTTACATTACCCCGTGCCTCGCATTTGGCCCAGCTCCAATCTTGACAGAAGGAACACATCCTGTCGTCAAGCTATTGAGGGAGACTAACCGAGATCGTTACAGATTGCAAATTCAAGCTCTGTGCCATCAGAGCTGTCCTCCTGCGCATTCCCATGCGAAATCATGCGAACATGTCGACGTGACCAACCTAGTCCGAAGGGTGTGTTTTACATTAATTTCTCCCTAGTGATCCCCAGGCATTAATGTAAAACGCGGGGGGGGTCTCTTATTTTGGGTTGGGCGTGGGGATGAAGCTACGTTACAGGCTGGCGACGCCATGGCTCTCTGCGCAAGTTCCTGCAACTTATGAAAGCCTATAGTTACGTGTCCACACACACACACCCACCTGCCCACTCACGCTCGCCCGTTGTCGTTTGTGATGCTGGCTTGTGGGGTGGGTAGGGTGTGGGCCTCCGTAGTTAGGACCTGTTGGCAGCAGGGATCCCTACCAATAAGTTGAGGTTCCCGTGGGGCTGAGCTGTCTCTCAGATGAGGGGTGGTTGCAACTACCACTGCCGGCTGCACCAGGGCCAGAAAGTTGCACAGCGTGTGGGGTGGGGTGATGGGTGCGAGAACGAGGGGGGGACCTGGAGTTTAAGGGGCACCGCAAAGCATGGTTCGGCCAGGAACAGAACCCGTGTGCCAGCTGTGCCCAGCGAGTATCGCTTCAGCCAGTTTACTTCGGCGGAGGAGCGGCGAGGATTTTCGATCATGGGAGATGCGGGTCAAAAAGCAATGTTGTGCACGGCGGCAACGGAGAGGGGTGTGGGTCCGACGCCCCCTTCCTCAAGTCGTGGTGAAGAGGAGCAAGAAGTGCCTGGTAAAGCTCGTCAGGTATGCTTTCGTGAACTTTGTGTCGCCGGTGTTTGCTGAACAATTCCGAACGGTCTACCAGGCCTTACTGAGTCAGCTTTCTGGACATGGCAATTGGGAAGTGGATGGACATGACTTTTGCTCAGGGATTGGCGTTGGCCGGCGAAAGAAGCAAGAAGATATGTGCGGTTGCACCTGCGACGACTCAAGGAAGGTGCTGCCATTGTTGCACTGTTGTATGCCCCGCGCCCCATCCAAAACTCGTTGCTCAAGGGCCAAGCTGGGCATCTCTCCCTCTCTGTGATTCTCTGTGTATGTGTAGGAAATGAAGAATCTTTGTAAATAATGTGTGCATATATATATATATATATATATTATAATATATATGTCTGTGTGAGTGTGTGGGGAGCGAGCATGTAGCAGTGGTTTGGCCGTGGTTGGCTGTCTGCTTACATGCTTTGGATTTGGAGTGTCGTTTGCATTTATTTGCGCATGCACAGCCGGATGCTGTGAGGTGTGCTCGTGTCGTGCCAGCATTTTCTCAAACGACCCTCGTGTTGACAGACGGAGAAACTCGGGTCCGTAGCCTGCCAGGCTTGCGAACGTTGAGTATTACCGCAACAGCCCCGTCATGAGCATGGAGGAGAAGTCGCACGGACGCAGTGGCCGCCAATATAGGTCGTGCATGAAACAGTTTCTACCACAGCTGCCGAGCATGTTGTGGCATGGGAGCAGTTTTCTCGTTCAGCCGTCAACATCCTCCGATGGACCCCTCATATCTTGTCATTCTACTGCAGTGGATGCGCACAGGTTTATGGAGGACCACTTGCGTTGCTGGCCAAGGTATCATCCGTTGGTCTTCGAGAATGGTGTAAGACAGAAGTTCCCAGCTCCGACCAAGGCCATGTGGCATGGCTGTTGTCTCACAGACATGCGTCTACTGCAGGTCGTGCCCTGTGACAGGCTGTGAAGCCAATCCGCTTCAGAGAAAGCAGAGGGATACAAGGTGAGTGATCTCACTCGTGCCACGGCCTTGACGTAGTCAGGGAGAACATGCCCAGATGTTTTGTTCTGAACATTTCCGAACGACACGCACGGGTAGCCTCAGCACACTTGGGTCGACAGATTCGTTGCGGCCTCTGCTGCCTCTTCCTTCGACCGACGGGTTGCGGGCTGCGGGACCGCAGTGTCTGAGCGAAAATCATTCAGTTCTGCGACCGGCACATCCCAAGCCTCCCGCATTGCTGCCTGTGAGATGCAGTTCACTTCTTGACCGCTTGCCGATGTTTTGCGACGAGACAATCGCGGCGTGCCAACAAGGCCCGCGATGGGCAGCTCACGGCGGCTATTCCTGCGCACCACCGCCTGTATGCGGAAAGCGCCGGTGGTGGATGCGCAGCGTGCATCGAAACCGCGGGGGTCCATCGAGCTTCGCAGGGGCACATTGTCCGCCTTCACTCGGTGGTGCGCTCCCAGACACGCGGGATGCGCAGCATTTCGGGTTTAGTTTCGTCGTTTGCCGGGCGGCAGTGGCAATCGTAGCTCACATTGTACATAGTACATTGTATCAGAGGTTGCCTGCAACTCAGGCGGTGCTTGACTGCGACCACTCTGCACTGAAGGGGGTAGAGCGAGTAGAATGACTTGGTCGCTGCGACCGCTGGGCAAAAAAACCCGCTTGGAGGCGCTGATGCAAATACTTGCAGCCGGTGTCGGAGCGGGTTTTAATAGAAAATTTCTATCATTGCTTCAGCTCGCAATTGGACGGGTGATATAGTAGCTATACAGGTTGGATGTTTTCCGTTCGGGCAGTGCACTACTGCCCGAGGAAGGCCCTTGCTGCAGACGTGGTGTGGGCAGGATGTTTCACAAGTTGCACCACGGCAACTTACAATCAGTTGACGATCATTGCCGAAACAGGCGGCAAGGCCCAGGCTGCAAGGTTGCACGTCTGTTGTGCATCGTGTTTTTGTGTGCCCGCCGTTTCTCACCGTGCCGCTAGCTGTTTAAAGGCAGCGTGCGGCGTATGCGAGAACCACGACAGAACGACAGAGTTACGGGCATTGATGTTGTCCACCGCAGTCAGAGGCGATCACAATGAGCAATGCCAGCAAGCTCAACTGACCAAAGTGCCAAGGCATCAAAGTACTTCAGCGGCCGAATTCTCGGTGCAATTGATATCGACTCCAAAATTTTAAAATGTCCCTGCGACATCTGAAAGATGTGATTTTGCATGCTCCGCATGTCAACCTTCTAAAGCAGCCTCGGCATGGAGTCATCCTCCGTGCAGGCCTCGGACCAGTTTGGGTTGAAGACGATGCTTCGAGTGGAAGTGCTGATTTGTAAGGTCCGTGCTGCGGTTGGGCCAGCATGGACAGCCATGGGCCGGTCCATGGAAGGTGTCAAGGCAATTGGAACTGGTAGAAGGTGAAGGGGTCGATGACTTTCAATCGCTCCTACTAATCTCTGAGGACATGCGAACGCAGGTCTTACCGCCGCTGCATGGACCCTGCGCGTAGTGCAGCATGGGTTTGCGATGCACGTTCCAAGTCCAAGGCCTGAAGTCCTAACAAGCCTTGACAAGTTGCCGGAGCCAGGAACCGATCTCTTCCCTTCCGTTTCCGCATGTGGCCGGCCCATTCAGCTCAGGTTCTTTGAAGATCCTGATCCCGTGCAGCACTCCGACGTATTTCCTTCGTCTCAGCCTGAGAGGAGGAGGTGGTCTGATACCGATCGCAGGAAGAAAGTGGTTGTCCATATAGCATGATAATGCCATCGGTTTGGGCGACTGTTCATGCAATTTCATGGGGTAGAGCTTTCGGAAGTCTGGGAGCTCATGCCATGCAAGACGAGTCAGCATCACCATGCAGCGATTGTCGTTTCATGTCGTTCGTCTCAGGGAACGCGCGGTTCGGTTAGAGTCGGTCAGGTTCGCGTGAACTGCGAGGAACTGGTTAGCGATTCGTGGCAGTTCGGTTCGGGAGCGGTTAGGGGTTGGGGGGTATAAAATCCCTACCTGCAACATGCCAGCAAGTGCCAAGTAAGAGATGCCAAACCAGGCGCCTCCTGTTTGTATTTGTGGCGGATGGCACAGTGTACGACCTGCGGAAAGTCGGACTGGGCGTGCCCAACTTTGAGAACTTGCCTTTATTTTCATCATCTTTCACGTACTTTGAGGTGGCTTTTTCTCTTTCCTGTCTGCCTTTCAGCATTTCCGGGCCCCAAGCCCGGAATAACCTGCAGTGTACTCCCCCAGCCCGGCCCGTTCATACACGCTCAGCATTTCCAGACCTAACAAGCCGTCAAACCCGTGCTTCCGTGCGCGCGCGCGTCTGTTCCATACTCCCCACGGAGTTCAGGTTTCCAGCACTTCCAGGCCCAAAACCTTCTGACCATTCTACACTCATCAGATTGCTCAAAAAATCTGTGTGCACCGCGAATCTGGCAGTACCGTTCCGCGACTTGCACACTGTTTCACTTACTTTTTGTGGTGTTGCCGAGGTTCAGTGGCCTGAGGCCGCTGATGTTGCGACGCAGAGGTGTGACAGAGTCATTTGCAGAGTGAGCTCATGCAGCGTGGCATGTCAAGACATGGTCGAACTTGATGAGGT